TCCTTCAGAACAATAATTAATCTCTTCAACGATTTAGTCCAACTTTCAGTAAAAAGATGAAAATCTAACATAATACACAAAGATCTATTATGATTTGGCCCCTGTGTCTTTTCTGGCCAATCCACTATAATACATTACTTTTTGTTTTAGCCATTCATATCTACTGGAGCGTTCTTTAATGGGCAAACTCCCATATCTATCTACCTTTGTATATGTTGCTTTTTTTTCAACATAGAATGTCTTTACTTCCCCAATTCTTTAAGCCCAGTACAAAAGTCACTACTCTAACCCTTTCCTTACCTCACTCAAGCATACAGTTTGACTAAAGTGACTCTCTGTGATGTTTTCACAACACCCTTCTGTCATCAAACTTATCAAGCTGCTCTTTTATCATTAATTCACTTCCCTGGTGTTCTCACTAGACTATGAGCACCTTTATATCACCAGCCCTTAGAAGAGTGTCTAGCACATGGTAAGTACTCAGTACACATGTTACACAAATGAAAATCATTGTGCTTAGAATTTATTTAAAAGAAAAACATGATTTATCTCATTGTAAATAACCAAATACTCAGAAAGCTATACGATAAACATCAAATTAGCTTATGCTATTTAAAGCTGTAAATCTGACTTTACTGACTAAAGGAACAAAGGCTTCAGAAATTACACATGAACACAAAGTCAAAGTGGAAAAACATGGTGCAGGCGTATAATCCCAGCATTCTGGGAGACTGAGGCGGGAGAATTGAAAGTTTGAACAAGCCTGGATACTTCAGTGAATTCACAAGTGCTTATGTCAAAATAAATCATAACAACAAAAAAAAAGGTTTGGGGGGCTGGGGATTTAGCTCAGCAGCAAAGCGCCTGCCTGGCAAGCGCAAGGTCGTGAGTTCGGTTCCTGGTACAGGAGAAAAACAAAACAAAACAAAACAAACAAAAAAAAAAGGTTTGGGAATATAGCTCAGTGAGAACTCCTGACTTCAATCCTAGTATTAAAAAAAAAAAAAAGTCAAATGTGGTCAAGCCACTCATATACCAATCATTGTGTGTGTTATTAATTCTACCTTACTGGTGGCCTCTCTTAGTTAATTCACTTTAAATATGTGAGAATCAAGATGCAGTTCCTTTACAACATTTCTAGAGCCCTCTCCTATTCAACTTAACAAAGTATATGGCTGACATCAAATTAGTAACTAATCTAAGATTCATGCTGTTTGAAGGCCTAACTAGATAGTTACATACAATCCAAAACTCTGCTATTAATGCAGTATTCAAAATGTGATGAGTCCAAGACAAGATTGCCTTCCTTTAAAATAATGGAAAGGAAAAGGGTCGTCATGGAGAGGCACACATGAAAGAAACTGGAATGACTTCTGTTAAATTTTTATTTAAGTAACCTGATACAGAAGTCATTGCAGACCTGAAATGCCACTGAGAAAAAAATTCTTAATAGCCATCAAAACACCAAAGATAAGCCAGGTGTGGTGGTGCATGCCTGTAATTCCAGCGCTCTGGAAGCCTAAGGGAAGAGGATCCAAAGTTTAAGCCCAGCCTGAGCAACTTAAAAAGACCTTATGTCATAATTTAAAAGGTGGGGAGGTGCAGATTTAGCTGGGTCCAAAGGCCCTGGGTTCAATACCTAGTACAAAAAAAAAGTTGAGAATATAAATGAAAGTGATTCTTGTGTATAGAAAATATGCTTTCCATCTGTACCTTTCAGAATCACGACAATGTAAATGAAAACAACTGAAGCACAAGCCTTATGAATCCATTCTGCTAGAGTGACTGAATTTTCTACACAGCAGAAACTTTGTTCTTAGCCAGTGCTAGGTAGATATTGTGTAGTTTAATTTGTTTCTATCCCTAGAATTTTCTTCAATATCAACTCACCTTGTGATCTGTGCTATTTCCCTGTTCCCTTCACCACTGACCTCCCCTCCCCAACTTAGGGTGGAATCAACTGTCATTTCCCTTACTGTCTTTCTCTGGTATTGCAATAGTTCTTATTCTTCCTATAGATGATGACTATCTCTGAGAAACTGATGAAATCTATGGAGCCCAGAAAAATGAACATATACTCATTTTTGAAGAGTTTAAGAACTCACATCTGCCACAATCACTCACACAAAAATCTTTTATTAGCACAGGGTCTCTTTTATAATCCCTTTACACACACACACAATCGAAGACAATTATAGTGATTAATATTCAAAATAATAAATGTAGTCTAAAGTTTTACCGTACCAGGAAACTTTTAAGAATTTAGATTCCATCTTACTCCAGAAAGAATGGCTATCATCAGGAAATCAAATAATAAATGATGGCGAGGCTGCGTAAAAAAGGAACCCTTCTATACTGTTGGTGGGAATGTAAACTAGTACAACCATTATGGAAATCAGTATGGAGATTCCGCAACAAACTGAAACGAGAAATTCCATTCAACCTAGCTATTCCCCTTCTAACTATCTTTCTGAAAGAATTAAAGACGTCATATTACAGTGATACATGCGTACCCATGTTCATAATGGCGAAATCTTGGAAGCAGCCTGTATGTCCATCAGCAAGTGAATGGATAAAGAAAATGTGGTATTTATACACAACGGATTACTACAGTGCCATAAAGAATGATAAACCTGTAGAATAATAAACTTTGTAGATGTACCTTGAAACCATAATGTTAAATGAAATAAATCATATGCACAAACTGAAATATTACAGTGCACAACATAATTAAAGAGCAAACTAAAAAGTAATAGGAAACAGGGAGAAAAACCTTTTGTAAAAGGGAAGGGGATCAAGAGATGCAGGGAAGAGGGAAGGGATGGAAAAAGAATTAAGATGTGCTATGTATATGTACCAACTCCGCACAACGAATGTAAATATTACGTACTACAAACATGTACTAATAAAAAATAAAAATAAAAATTGAAAAATAAAAGAATCCCAGCAGAAATCATTCCTAAAAAGTTTACCAAGTCTTACTTGGTCAACTTGTTTGCCTTCAAACGTGCTGTAATGATTCCTAAATCTGCTTTTATTAGCTCTCACATGTGCTTATAAAAACATGTAAAACTCAAGAGCTATGTTTGAGCAAAAGAAATTCACGTTGCTACTCATCTTAGATTCTAGTTCTTGTTCTACTACCTTCAGCTATGTTCAACACGGAACAGAGAAGTTAGCTACAAACTGAAAGTGATATTATCTCATAACTATCTAGTTACCTTGTCAAAGCAAGTAAAACATAAAAGATGAAACAGGACAAATAGCCAAAGAGAAGGGAGGTGCTATTAATAACAGTGACAAGAGCTTTATCTTGGGAGTATCCTTAAAGTGGAAGGCTCTTGCTAGGTAGACCAAACTGTCTGTGGAAACTACCCGTTAACTTTTATTTTTATTTAAACTTTTGATTACTGATTAAACCAGTTTTGTATGGGGGCCAAAAAAGGAAGAAAAAGAAAAAAAGGAAATAGGACTATCATTCTTTTACCATAAACTGATGAATTTCAAAACACATCAGAAGTTTAAATACATTAAACTCTAATGATAGTAACGATAATAAAACTTCCAAGCTTCACAAAAGTGCAGGAACCCATTAAACCTAGCAACCTTCTGCTACCAAGAGAAGTCAAAATGAGCCCATGGCTCAATTTCTTCATTTGCAAATCCTTAGCTAACAGGACCCATCAAGTAAACAATTTCTCAATTTGCCTCAAATTAGAGTGGAAGTGAGGAGACTTTAAATTTGTCATCTTAGTCTACCAACCAAGTCGCTTTCCACACAATGAAAGGCTGCAACATTTCCTAAAACAATAAAGCTTTGACCACTGTTTTCCAATATGAATAGCCTGTAATTGACAGACCTGACAGAGAAATACAATGGGTCCATACCAAAGGCCAGATGTCATAGGAAATGGCTTTAGTTATTAATATGTCACCATTTCACCCTGTCTCATCTATTATAATCAAGCTGCCGGTTAAAACTCAAATTTAGACATGCAACACGTGGCTTGCACTTCGGATCTGGACCAAGAATCATCTTCGGCTATAAGGAATACGGTATTTGCTGTATTTGTGCAGATCTCTTTCCCCTCACGCCACCCAAATTAGAAAGTTTACAAAAAGAGGAACCCTTTTAACTGATGAGTTGAAGAAACTCCAGTATTTCCTAATGTAATACCAGGCCCCATACACAGTACTTCAGTCCTCTGTGTATTCAGTGGCAGGAAATGGACTGCTACCACTGGTTCACGCTCTCAGGACTGCGAAACTTGCAGTCTGCCTACCGCTTTTGAGCGTTCTTAATCAAGTGAGTGGAAGTATTGTGTGATTACGCCTATTGCACACACAGGACAGTTGGTGGTACCTCACCCAGCCTCCAACTAACTCCCATGCCACCCCCACTTTTCCAAAGAAATGTTTCTCCGGGAAAGCGCATGGAGAGGGAGGCAAGGGAGAAAAAAACGCACGTAGGCGCCTCTTCCTTGGATTTCTGGTGAAGTAGAAGGACAAGGTGGGGGTGGAGGGCGCCTACACTGTGATCTCCTTGATTTGCTAGGCTGTGAGTGGGCTCCCAAGTATTCGGACTGAAAAGCAGGGTGGGTCCCCTGCCCCAGTCCAAAGTGTGAAGAAGCAAAACAGTCACTAACAAAAGGTGGGAGGGAAATGGAATCGCGCAAAGAAGCTTCCTGACCACAAGTTAGACCAGCAGCCCTATCCAGCACTCCAGGATTCCAGGTCTCCCCAAGTTGGGGTGCGGACTTTCTCCTTCTCGCACTGCCTCCCGGGCTGACGAGAGAGAAAGGGATTAGGTGGAGAAGGGGTGCTCTTCCGCCCCCACGCCGTCTCCGCGCCTCGGCGTGGCCGCTCCTTCAGCGGCGCCCGCAGTGGCGCTGTGAGGTCGCGGTCACCCCTGGAGGGGGCCCGGGTGCCCCGTGCTCAACGGCAGGGGATCCCGGGACGCTCCTCGTCCCCAGGGCCGGCGGGGCTGCGGGAGCACTCACCAGTTTGGGTTTGTTTTTCGTTTCCTCTTCGTTGGAGGCCCGGTTTCCCGTGCTCCGCTTGTTGCTCCGGGCCCCACCGGGCTCCTCGCCGCCGCCTCCCGCTCCCGCCGCCGCCGCCCCGGGCTGCTCCATCTTTCTCCGGCCCTGTCACCTGTGCCCCGTAACCCCACCTCTCCTCAACTGAGTTAGCCCCGGGTGCTCACGCCGCCGCGCCGATTCGGCAGCACGTCTTCCTTAGGGAGAGTGTGTCTGCCGGGAAGCAGCCGCTTTCAGGCCCCCGGGCCCCCCGGCTCCCCGGCACCCCCGACGCGACCACGGTGTTGCCACTACTCCGCGCTGGGGCAAGCCCTGCCCTAACCGGCTGCAATTACCACGGTCGCCGCCGCCCTGGGGCGGTGTTTAGGGCAGAGGGAAAGTAGGTGACTATCTCTTTAAGAGGGCCTCAACGCACGTGATTCATCAAAGTGCCTACAGTCTACCGCCCCGGCGCGGAAAGCCGCTTCCTACTCCGCGCGGAGCCGGCCTGGCTACTGAGCATGCCCGGCGCAGCGACCCGAGCCTAACAGATGACTTGCAGCTGTGGTTAAGCACTGATTTCACTTCCCACTAGCCTGCTGTGAAATGGGAGCAAACCTGTCAGGAGAGAAGTAGGGTAGCCCATTTTAGAGATGAGGAAACTGAGGACCAGAAGGATTCGCTTGAGTTTCGTTGGCGGCGCGCCTGGAGTGTCAGCTTCCACTGGCCTAAGACACCGCACCCTCCAGGGCAGAAGCCTCTCCGGGGGTGTGGTCTGGGGGAAGGTTTAATTAGCAAGGCAACTGGCAGCCAATGGGGAAACCACGGGGAGCGCTGATTAATTGCCTGCCCTAGACAGATTGGGTCAAAGTGGAAAGAGAGGGTGCTTCTGTTGCCATGATCGCATGGTGACCTAAGAAACACAGACCTTCCTCTATTCTCGGACTGCCGATTGCCTATTGCGGGGTGGTTGAAGCAGTAGGCACCCACCGCTTAATCCCCAGGGCATTCTTAAACGCTTTAAGCAAAGCATGGATATAGAGTTTACAAGTGAATTGAGTGTTACTTTCAGTTTCCCGAACTAGTTTAGGTTTAGGATTGTTGTAGGAGGTGAATAAGATCACGTGTGCCAAAGTTTTGTTTGACAAGTAAATCCTTGGACAAATATTGTACTGAGCGTTTTTGTGCTCCAGCGTAGGGTCCTTGAGTTGTCCCTAGGAGTCTGTCCTCAGAAAGAGACCCAAGCTATATTTTTTCCATCCTATTTAAAAGGCACCCTCAGAAATCAAGGTACACGTGGGGAACATTAGAGGCGCAGGGCAGGATTGGAGTGAAGAACCATTGCAGAATAAGAGCCCATATGCTAGCGAAGCTACTACCTTGCAGATTTGGACACCATTCCATAAATGTGTTTACCTGCCCGTTACAGAAGATATCATTAAACCTATCATCAAGCTAGGACTCCTTTTGCCCTTTGCCTCAACTTGAAGTCATCCATGCTGAGTTAAATTTGTATCTGAACATATTTGTTCAGAGTGGGTTGGGATAAATTTGACCATGATATAGATGGGAAACAAACTTGAACCCTAGAGTGAAAGAACCTTCGATATCTGAAAACAGGTTTAATCCCAGCTTTGTCTTTGTCACTAAATCTATTTTTAACCATGGAGGCCTGACTCCTCCTTAAGTGGTAAGCTGCCCAAGGACAACAAGGAAGAAGGAATATGTGCTCCCAGAAAGGGTGGATAAGGAGCCTGAAAGGTCAAATTGCTTTGTAAGTTCCTGTTTGACTTAAAATTGTATGTATATTTTGAATTTGACTCACTATACACACCATTTATTCTATCTAGATGTCACCCCTCCTGAAATATTGAGTAAATAACCTGTTTTAACAATGCTTTCATATAATTCCCGTGTGAGAGAGGTGGACGTGGGTGCAGTTGAGGGCCCTCCAAGTTCAACCATTGCTCAATAATCTACTCAGTAGGCATTTCTTGAGCTCCTTAGAGTTCACCAGATGATCAAATACTGTGGGTTAGAAGGCTGAAGATGATAGATTTTCTGTCCTTCAGAATCTCAGGCTACTGGGAGAGACAGGTAGCCCATGCAGCACATGAAAGAGGTAACTAACTGAGTGTCAGAGACGCAGGGCCTTGTTTCCAAAGAAGATGGTGTTTAAGCTAAATGCTAAACTTCTGTTTGTTTATTTACTTATTGTTTGTTTTGGTTTTGAGAGAGGGTCTCACGGTGTAGTTTAGAGCCCAGTCCAACACAGCTCTCAAAGTTCCCATGGGGAAGGACAGTGAGAAGATGGAGAAATAAAGATAAGAGACAGACAGCTGACATCAGGTGAAGCCCTCTCTTCAGAAGGGAGAAAAGGAGCTGCTCAGCCACCATAGTGTGTTTGTACAGTTAGCAAGTGATGTCGGGTGAAACCCCTTTACCTAACAACTACTCACCTCTCATGCTCATATTCTCGGAGCTGGAACACCTGTTGGCTTGGGGTGCTTCATGATCTCAGGGTGTCCCTAGGTACTCCGTGCTCTAGGCTCAATCACTAGCTCAGCTGCCTCCAACAGTTTAAGCTAACCTTGACCCCACTATGTAACCCAGGCTGACATCAAACTCAAAGTGATCCTCCTGCCTCAGCTTCCTGAGTGCTGGGATTATAGGTGTGCACCACCACATCCAGTTTAAGCTTCTGTTTAAAGTCTCTCTAAGTATTTGTTGGCTGCATACTAGGTATTTTGGGTACAGTAGTCAGTAGTTCTCTCTCATGGAGCTTTCAGGATATTGGGGAGTGTATCAAACAAAAATGTATTGAACGATTATAATATAGGTAAATGAAGAGCATTCTAGACAAAGGAAACGATGCTAGCATATGGAAAGACATTATGGTTAAGAAATTGAGGTTTTGAGAGGCTGTTGGCAAGAGAAGAAGCAGAACAAACTAGGAGGTTCCAGATCTTGAAGGCCCCTGCTTGTATATTTCATTGTTATTGCTTAAAACTGGATGGTGGCGTTAGGGCGGGTACGCTAATTTTAATGAATGATTTCTGTTTGGAGTACATAAACAGAAGTAAAAATAGATTGATATTATTTTGAATGTAACATCGGGTTTCACCATCCTCAGGCCAGATTAAGCTATATTTGATATTCAATTAGAGATAACCTATAAGAAGATCTGTAATGTCTTCTGCAAAAAAAGTGAAAATTTCTGTCCCTAATATGGCTTACATTTGAGTTTGTTATGATTATCTTAGCTTCTGTCTTAATTCTGGATGTTTGATTTTTTAGCATTTTGCTCTTGTTAATGTAGCGTAAGAAAAGCAAAACAAAAGCAAGTAAAGAAAACCTTGAAATCCTTTCTTCCTGCATCAGGGTGGATTCTCTTGAAAGCTAACACAGGAAAGGAGCCACTGCTCTCAGGCAGGAACACTTTGTCCACGGACTATGAAGGAATTACCTCACCAGTTGCCATCTTAGGACTGATCTCTCTTCACCTTGTTCCTTGATTTTTGCCTTCCTGGGACATACATATAGGCTGGTGGATGGCAAAACATCTTTTTTCTGATACCAAAGAAAAATGAAGGCTACCCTCATCAACTGGAGTATCAAAAATGTACTTGAGATAAAATCACCTTGCAGTCTTTCCCTCTGGCTTCTCATGAATATAGCACCCAGTCAGCATTTAAAAGCTACTCCCTGGAAGAACAGAAAGATTAAAGGCTGCTAGGCTCTATGTTCCTTCAAACTGATGTTCAAGCCATTCATAATTCTCATCTAAACAACCTGAGTCATTCATAAAGACCTTAAAGGAAACAATGGTTAGAAAAAAAATGAGAAATAACCAACTCCAGGGTTACCACAAAATATTTATGCATTGAAGGATGACTAAGAGAACAGTATTTATTAAGCATATACCATGTGACTAACACCAAATTCGATGTCACATAGATTTTTTTTAAAGTGCCAGACATTCATATTTGTCTTCCTGAAGGATCTTTCAGTCTGCAAAACTGCACAGCTAAGATAACAGGGCTTTCTGGAAAATACAGGTAAAGAAGACCACTTATATCGAATGCAACTTTGTAATTAGAGGACTAATGCAAACAAGAGCCATCCTAATCAAAATACTCACAAACTTAATTCTCCACTGGCATTTGCACCCAGTATCATAGTCATCAATGCTTGGTAGCCTTCATGCTTTTGTTCCTGAGGTGGGTCCTCAAGAACATTAACTTTTGGGGGCTGGGGCTATAGCGTAAGTGCCTGCCTTTCAAGTGCAAGGTCGTGAGTTCAATCCCTGGTACTGCAAAAAAAAAAAAGAACATTCACTTTTATAGATGCCATTTTCATCAGAATTGCATATCGAAATGAAGAGTACTCAACTTTTAAAAATATATGGTGAAAAGTTTTATTAGTCAGCTTTCTCATCCCTGAGACACAACATCCACAGTTTAAATTGCTCTCCTTTTAGTCCTTGTTCCGATGGATCCAAGGCAGAGACATCCTGGCAGAAGGGCATGGTACAAGAAAGTTGCTCAACCCATGCTGGCCAGGAAGCAAAGCGAGAAGCGAGGGTTTGGGGAGGGAGACATACCCTCTGTTATGGTTTGTGTCTGCATGTCCCCCCAAAGCCACATGTAGCCATGGGGCGGGCTTTTAGTGTTTTGATTCATGGTCGTGAGTGCCACACTGCCCTGGGGCAGATAGTTTGCATATGTAAGGGAGAGGAAGAGGCTGCTTGCCCCCACTCCTCCCTTTTGCTCTTGTTGCTTTTGCTATGTTCTGCCACCATGAACATTTGCCCTCTGCCATGTGCCACTCAGCCTTGGAACCAACCGAGTATGGACTGAAACCTCCACAGAGTGTAAGCTAAATAAACCTTTCCTTCCTTCATTTTGGGTATCAGGTATTTTGTCTCAGCCACAAGAGAAAAATAACTGAGACACCCTCCAAAGCATGCCTCCCAACAGCACATTTTGCCATGAACTCATCAGTGGGTCAATCCTGATGGGTATAGCACCCCCATGATTTATCACCTCCCAAAAGCCTCACCTCTAAACACATGAGACTTTGGGAAAACATTTTACATCTAGACCATAAGAAAGATCTTCACAACTTCATTATCAGTGCTTACAGTATCACTGGGTAGTTTCATGTTAAAAATTTAGAAGTTGAAGCCATTAAATCAGTCAGTACTTAGAGTCTTAAGTGGGATTCTTCACTTCTTCTTAGAGTCTTCATATATTACTGAGACTTCTTAATTATAAGGAAGTTTGCTTCTGATTATTTTAAAACTTAAGGTGCTAAGAAAATTTACACGAGAATCAATAGGACTTCCACATTATTTTGACATCTTTTTCCCATAGCTAAGTGCTATTTGTGGTACACAAATGCTTGTAATGAAACAGACTATGCAGTGTAAAGTCTCTGCCATCAATAAGCCTAAAATCTATTTCAACCAGGTGTGGCGTGCACGCCTGTAATCCCAGCACTTGGGAGGCTGAGGAAAGAGGATAGCTGTGAATTTAAGGCCAGCCTGAACTACATAATGAGACCCTGTCTCAAAAAGAGAAAACAAAACAAAATCAATTTGAGAAACAAATAAAAACACAAAGATGTGACACACAAAAAATAAATTACCTGTAAAACTCAAATATATTGTCTCCGACTT